TATATGGATTTTAGATATTTAAATAAATTTAAATATTTCAAAATAAATGATCTAGTATATTTTTATACACATTTTGCATTTTACATAATGATGTAACATATAGATCACTATCGCAGAGATACGAGCGATCATTTTACAAATAACAAATAATAAATTAAATACATTGTAAATTACTTACCCCATGGTTGCTCTGCCACCGTTTGATATGCCGTTGCTGGTCCGCCTTTTCCTTCCTCGCTGATTTTCTTCATGGTATTCACACGCGAGAAGACAGCTAATTACGATTACTCGCGTACTAATCAGTAAAATATGACGGCGATATTTTGCGCTCACGACATTGATTGCATTCTGACGATACTTTATTATTGCAATAGAAAAACGACGCGGAAACTACAACGCGATTACACAAGGCAATTGCCGTTGATCGTATAAACTATAAACGATCCGTTCATGGTTCAACTTCATGCGTCACTTCCCGCGCCCTCTCCCGGAGGCATCTGGCTCTGACAGTACGCTGACATAGCACTAATACTAACAGAGCACTGACATTACCCTGACACCGCACTGACATTCCACTGATATCACATTAACTGTGTATTTTTATATAAATGTATTTAAATGAAATATATTATATATATAAAACGGACAGGAGCGACAAATTTTTCGTACAAATTCAATTTTTACATCTCAAAAAATCCATTAAATATATGATTGTTATAAAACTCATAAAATTGTTGTATCGAAAGAGAGAAAGAGAGAGAGAGAACATTTACTTCTATTTTATATAAATATATTACTACGAGATATGTATATATATACTTCGATAAATAGCCATCGTCGCGATATTCATGTTCGTTTATAGCGGAAATGAATCAATTTCGCGAGCTGATAATCGCTACTTAAAATAACGGGACATAATTGTGAAAACGAAGATTAATACGACACTCGGAACAATTCGCATTGCTACCTTCTCGCTCGAGTCCCGCCGCGCGAATGACAACGGAGCTTTGGAATGTAATTGATAGCGCGCCGTGTTTGTTGTTATTCTGGCAACCAAGGTTGTTTACGCGAAGATCGCGCTTAATATAACGTTTAACTTGCTATCGCCACGAATATTTCACGCATGACGAAATATGTAAATTCACATACAAAATTCTTTTTCGAATTTCAAGTTAATTGTTAATTAAGAGTTGAGGTATTTTATTACTTTTTTCGTTACTTTATAGTCAGAGTTCTGTGATCCATGCATCATTACTCTCTTAAATGAAATCAATATATTATCACTAATAAGCAATGGTTTCAATTATACGTATAATATTGCAAACAATGAAATCTCACTGGAATTAGTGGTGATGTGTGGCAATCAGAGATATTTTAAAAAATGTGTTTTATTTACATTATACATAATATTATATACAATACAATATAAATTTATAGTAATATTTTATTTTCTGCTAGTTTATCATATCTTAAGAGTAAAAAAGTGTAATATGCATTTAATTCTCTTTCTAAATTTGAATATCTCTTATACGTATTTCAGTTTATACGCATGTATGTGCGGGAGTCCCTCCAAGCAAACGAAAATAAATATAAAAGTTAAATATAAAATATATATAAAAGCTTTAAACATTACATCTTTTGCAAATTTGTAGTATATTATGGATTTTCCAGTGAAATCTTATTGCCATAATCAGTGAAATATAAGAACGATAAATCAGACGCGACTGTTTTCACTGAAAATCAGTGCAATACTTACTAATCTTCGGTGAAATCTTGTCATTGCTTTAAACAGTGACAATTGTTACAATTGACTGATTTAATTTAGGAGAGTACACGTCCAGAAATGTGCGTAGTGTGTTTCTAAAATTATATTTAATAATTATAGCGAATAATCGCGCGCGCGTTTAGTACGTACCTTCTGCTCGAGTGCTATCGTGCGTATGATGATAAGGCGACCGTGCGTAAACAATAACGCGCTTACGCCACCATAGAAAAAGCGTGGAATTTTGTGACGTAGTATGTGTTTATATGTCTTGTTGACATTCTTACAAATGTAGTAATATTCTTCGATTAAAAAATCTCCTTTATTCTTATGTTTTTCTATAATGTAAATGTGCGCCACCGTATTTTATCGACGCGCTCGTTAGTCATGGAAAGAAATAATATCTATTTTAATAATATTTGATATATATGCGCAACAAAAATGCTAATTTATAATTCTTTTTTGAGGATAAAAAAGTTAAAAGTTGAGTAGATTTTCTGAGATTTTTTAAATATCATTTCCCCCCCAATTACAAAATAAAAGTGAATTTAATAATTGGAAATGTCCTGCAAGCATAGATAACGATAGTATAGATGTAGGAATAGTTTCACACATCTCCCAAACTGACATATTATAGGATTTTTAAACTAAATAGACGTTTATATAGAGAGGGTTATCGCATTTATAAAATTTTTAATCCTCTTTCGATTGATGCTCTCCAAATTTGAAATATGATTAAATTGGCGAATAATTCAAAATCCATAAATAAATAAATCCATAAATAAATAAAACAGTTCTTTTAACGCAATGTATCAATTTTAAATTTCTAAATTAATACTGACATATTTTATTAAAACATCATCGTTAAGTTGAATATCATAAAAATAATAAAATTTAATAATTGTAAAATGTTGCTCTCTCTGTGGGAGCTGAGAGCATAAATTAATTAATAAACGTACCTTACATATTATTTGAGCTTTATCAATCTTTTTACAATAATGGATTCTATAACGAAGAAATTTTTAATAAATTACGATATTTCATACATATATTCGATCTAGTTAAATAAACTTCTTGTTGATCCAATTTAAGATTTAGCAATTAGCTCTTTGATGTAGTAATTAATTAAAAACTGCGTAACATTAACAATTTAATTATACCGAATATTAATTCTTATGATGTTCCGCTAGTAGAAAAGTTAATATCTTCAACGTAGATCAACTCCTTAAACTTTAGTTTCTTGTCAAGGCGCATTGTTTCAAAATTTACCACGGTAATTGCTCCTTCGTTTAATTACATTGATTGATATAAAGTTGCTTTCATCTTATGCGATTTTAAATAGTGTAGTGTATGAATGCCGTTCCATATCAATGAAGAGGAACTTCCAACGCGACGGCTTGATTCTAATTAACCAGAATTTATTATCCGTGACACTAATCTCTGTTTTTCGAGGGAGAGCACCTTAATGGTTCTTTATATGCTCACGTCGCAATTAATTCTCGAGATACTAATGTGGATTTATACTTTCCTGCATCTTCTTCGTGCGGCCACGAGTATCCTTTTCCTTCTTTTCTTATTCTCGACTTTCGACGAAAAATAAAAATGCGTGCTCTGTCCCTTTGGTAAAGTAACGAGAACACGACTATTTTCCTAATTTAATAAAAAAAATATATGTAAATATATGTAAAAAAATAATAGACGGTTTGTCATCTACAGGAAAAATATGACGTAACGATGAGAGTCGTGTGCGCGCACAAACTTCGAAAAGGAACTTGATGTGCTAATAAAAAAAAAAAAAATCATATCTGTAGAGAATAGAGCCCCGGTGGGTAATGATATAACATTGCGTGCAATTAAGAAGTTAGGAAGGATAAGAAGACAGTATTTCTCTTATCAGAAGTTTTCAGCTTGACAACAAAAGCGGAGAAGCACGTCGCCGTTAGACGAAATTAACGAGAGCCATCAAGTTGGTGTCGGGAAAGGAAGTTTATAGAAAGAAGTTTCTACAACGCCAAATAATTGGATAATTCACTCTTGTGTTCGCCGAACATCTTTCTCTAAAGCGGTCAAAATTCATCCATCATTCATCGCGCCTCGGTTCTACAAACGCTCTTTCACTTTTCTTTTTTCTTCTCGCGAAGTGCCTTACCAATAAAATTTGCCAAACGGGGATCCGTCCGAGAAGAGAGACGTGATGACAGGTGCGGGATTTCCGGGCGCTTGATGGATATACGAGCAGATTTTTGGGGAAGTGATTTTTACACGAGGGCAGAGAATACATATACAAAGGGCGAAAACGAAACTCGACGACTGATGACGTCGAGAGAGAGACGACTCCTCTTGGCTTTTTTTTCAATACGTTTATTATTTTTTAAACAATAATTTTAACCGTTCGTTATATATATTTCAATCGTTTTACATACGTTGGATAGTTGTGTAGAGTGTAGACGTTAGCTTACAAATAGATTAGTTTAGTTTATCCATACATAATGTGTTCGTGTTTTCTTTCCTCTTTCTTCCCGTTAGAGTGTGTAATGGCTTCTTGTGTAATTAGATAATTAATATTTTACACATATAGCGTCTCTGCTTCCGCTTTCTCTCTCTCTCTCTCTCTCTCTTTCTCTTTCATCCTATCATTCTTCCCCTTCGTACATTCCTGTCAAAGCTTCCTCGTTCTCTCATGTTCACTCTATCTCTTTCCTTTAATTCTCTCCCTCGCCAGCCCCTCAAACATCCCTTTTCCCCCTATTTTAATGTTTCATCGGGAGCGGAATTACGTGAGGAATTATAGACGGATTTAAGTGCCATTTGCCCGTCGAAGCGATCGCGCGAAATCGAACGAACTCGAAATGCGTTGCGCGAGAAGGCGTGTGCGTTTCGTGACGAAGCGACGAAAGAAATGCGCGGGAACACAACGAAGGAGCAAACATGCGAGAGCATATCCACGCGTGCGTATATACGGTACGTGTGTTTACACGCGCGCGAACTGCATTTCCGATGCCGCGCTTAAGCCCCGGCGAGCCTCGACGTTGCGCCGGATGTGCGTACATATACGAGCGACATTAGTGAAATCGCAGGTATCGCGGATAAATCTCCTCCCGAATCACGTCACGACGATTCATCCAGACAGCAATGATCATCGAAGCCGATCGACGTCGACGAGAATTAACGCCAGACGCCGTATTCGGTCGCGTCTTCTCTCATTTAAATTCTAGACTCGCGACGAAGATACGAAACTCGTTTCGTTATTCTCGACAAATGCGATGAGAAGTTGGAAATTCTTACTCATTTATTACACTGGAGCATTTCTGAATTTACAGTGCAAACTGCATCTACCAGCGTGTTAGTGAATCACGTCACGACGATTCATCCAGACAGCAATGATCATCGAAGCCGATCGACGTCGACGAGAATTAACGCCAGACGCCGTATTCGGTCGCGTCTTCTCTCATTTAAATTCTAGACTCGCGACGAAGATACGAAACTCGTTTCGTTATTCTCGACGAATGCGATGAGAAGTTGGAAATTCTTACTCATTTATATTACACTGGAGCATTTCTGAATTTACAGTGCAAACTGCATCTACCAGCGTGTTAGTTTCAAGTTAAATTGAAAATTAGAAACTTTGGATTTTAGCTTTTGACATTTCGCGTTTCCTCCGATTTTATGTAACACTAAAGCACAGGAATAATTGTGCACATGTGAATGCCATAATAAGTTTGATATTATAATATTTCTCATTTATAAAAGAGATTTATAATCACCGTAAATTATTAAAAAATTAACTATTAATCTTATTATTTTAAAATATTGCAAAAAATAAATTTATATTTTTTTAGAAATTTATAAAATGCTCTGTAAATTTATTAAGATCTTACCGGGAATCTCTCATTGCTTCTTTCACGGAACCTCATA